CAGCCTTACTTTCCAGAAGGCAAATATCCATTTTTCATTACAATCGCTGAAGTCACTTATTTCGATATGAATAGGCTACGAGATTATCAGTAATTCGTAAAGTCAAAACATGATTAAATTAAATGGCACTTTGAGGTCTAGTCAACTCATTGTTGTAAAAGTAAACAATCAGTCCCTAATTCGCCTTGATTATATAATCATAAAATACCTTTATATTAATTTATTCGAATTAGACGATACATTATATATATAATAATGAATTTCTATTACACCTATTACTTCATAGTAATTTACACATTATATTGAACACACATTTTTCACATTTTTATATTAAAATTTACTACAAATATATTTCTTGAATAGATTTCATTTGATCAACATTTTGCAGCTATTCAATTCAGAGGATATCCTATAATCGCTGAGCTTACTACCATTTCGGGTGAGTGTTTGGGAAATAGGTTTGAAGGTCAATCGCATCAGAAGACGACGACGGATTCCTCGTGACCAGCTGTCGATTAGCCTCACTGTAACATTATTGTTGACTTTGTTTCCGGGGTAATCTCTTTTGATACATTACGGACGAGACGGTGAGTTCTTTTGACTCGTTAGATTGCATATGCTCTGATTAGCACGTTTTCACCGGAATCGAAGAAAATTGCCTCGGAGGCATCCGCCATCGTCTTCTGGTGGAATCGAATTTCGAATCCCATTCCCAAACCCTTTCACTCGAAGTGGAAGTAAGTTCAACAATTATAAAACATACGATTTCTCAAAACCAACTTTTTTTGCATATTCTTTAATCGTTTTTTTGCGCTATTTTTGTGCATTTTTTGAAATGTATCAATGTCATAATATGCAGATATAAGAGCTGTATTCCATCTATTTCGTTTAAGGTTTCTACAACCATATGAGTAGGCCTGAGGGTTCCATTAAATCTGGTACAGCCTTGCTTCCCACTTCCAGACGGAAGTGACCTCGCCTAACCTGGTCTCATCGGCACCCACAGCGGGACTCAAACTTGGGTCGTGGTAGTGCAGCGTGTAATATCGACAGTCTACCCACTAGCCATGCTGCCTCTATTGCCCTTAATTTATGGGACAGAGGTGATGTTCAAGAAAGCCTATGCCTTCACCTTCCTACATTTTTGTGGTGGGATTGTCGATAAAGCAAAGTTGTATTTTCTATATCACTCGAATACATTACTTATTTTCTGTTTATATGCATGATTGCGAGAATTCCAAAAGATCTAATATAAGAGCTGTACTGACTCAATGAAACTCGTGGCAGTGTGGCGTTGCGGTTGACGTGTCGATACAATACGCTGCACCAACAAAACTCGGGTTCGAGTCCCGCTGTGTAAGCTGATAAAGACAATTCGGGCGAGGTCAAAACTGCAGTCCACTCCTGCCAGGAGGAGAGTACCTTTTTAAAAGCAATCCTTCGCGAACTTCAATGGAACTATGAGGTCTACTCATATGATTGTGGAAAAAGCAACTATCAATCCTTCATCACCTCAAAGGAAATAGGGTGAATACCACTTTGAGGTTAGATCATTTGGTAGTCCCGAAAGCATAAGTCTAAATTAAAGATAAGGGAATTTCAGTGTCAAAATGAAGATGCTGACATAATGTGGCATTCAACATATCCCCTGTCAAAATTATTGTCACTGCCAACCGCTTCATCAAAAAATTCTTTTCTCAGCTTTATCATGCCAATCACATTCAGCCTCCGTAACCGTGTTCTCTTCACCATAGCAACTAGCCATTCAACTTTACTCATAATTTTCATTATCCAGTTTCCCATCAGCATTATTTTACATCGGCATGAATATCTCAATTTGCACAAAGCTTAAATCTTCATGACATCAATCCTCCTGACAAGTGGTATCTTTTCGTTAAGAGGAGAAACTATGCCTAGGAATAGGAGTCAAGCGCATGCCTACCTCATTGTCAACGTCGAAGATCTCCAATATAATCTGCTGGTGGTTTGCCTTTACCGCTTCTGACGAATAGTTAAAAGTGACCTCTCGGTACAGCATGACGTCCCACATGGGGCTCATCGTCTCGTAGATCGGAAGGGTTTGCAATACTTCATTGCAGATGAGGATCCTGGCGAAGGGATCGGAGAAACCGGTTTCATCGGCAGCCAGTAAATTCTTTGCGCTGAATATGCAGGCTCGAAACTCGAAAACGCTGGTCTCTATAGCAAAGGAAAATCATGTGATACAGCCGCAGCTTAGCGAGTGAGAAAGCATAAAACTATG